TGGTTAGTAGTTTTTGTTGGGTGGGCTTAGTAGTTGAAATTATTTTATTTTAAGGGTAAAGATAAATGTCTTAGTTCTTACTCCCACCAAATATATATAAATTAAATGTTTATTTTTTTTTATTTTAAGTGGTTTCAAAATAAATGTCCTACTTAAAAAGTCAAGTACTATTTTTTGTAAAATTAACAAATAGAACTTTTTTACATTGAACTTATAAAAAGTAAAGACCCACTATGGATATATTTGATAATTTACTCACTGTCAATATAATAAAAAAATATTAAAACTCATTCTCTTAAAAAGTTAAATTATAAAAAAAAAATATTTAATTTAAGACTGAAGGAGTATATATTAGAAAGTGATCAGCTTAAAGATATTTCTTGTTATCAAAAAATAAATATTTATATATATTCGAAAAAATGAATTTTTTTTTCTCTTATTTTATTTGTGAATTATAGAAAGTTACGAGCTTTCTTGTTTGTTGCTCAAAAAATATATTTTCTTACAATTATATGAAAATAGACTCTCTTTTTTTTTAATTGAATTTTCAAAAAATAATTCTTCAAAACAGCCAATCAAATAAATTTTTGTATAATTTTTTAATTTAAAAAATATATATTATTATAAAATACATACTTATACTTAAACACGGCGTAGGGAGGCAAGTTGATAGGTACCAATTTATAGGTTAATGGGGTATGACTTGTACGAGTAGGGACTGTGACTTGACAATTTGATACAAATAATGTGCGGACCTCTTCGTGTCTCAAGGTCCATTTAATGGAGTCATTATCAGCACTGGTTCGTCTCTTATTCGAATTCACTTTTTCTGTCTTGTCATTTATCACCAATAATACAACTCTAATATTCTTGTTCATAAGCAAAAAAATAATTAATAATAATAAAAGTAATAATTAATTAAGTTATGAAAAATAAATGAAAGCCTGATGTGAGTACATAAACCTTTTGTCCACATATTGTACTAAATTAAATGGGTCGAAATTAATTAGTAGAATCTATCACGCATATATATGATATATATAAATTAATTACTATTAACTTAGCTTGTACTGTAATGTAAAGTTGAAACCTTAGCTTGTAATGTAATGTGAATGATAATCCTTGAGTAGTAATTCTTTGAGTATTATAGTCATTAGCTTTTGAAGCTAAGATACTGATATGTGGTTTGTAATTAAAGTGAGCCTAATCATTTCAGATATTTATTTATTGAAACTACACTCGCTAGATCCCCAAAAAAATTCATGATTTCGATCATGTGTATGACAAAAATGAGGTGAATGCAATATTATCGTGTGTGATATTTTTATGTGAGCTCTTGTATTTTTTTAGTTGAATTAACAACAATAAGACGCGAAACTATTGATGAAATGACCTAACTTATAAACTCAATAGACTTAAATCTAAAATAAGGTTGTTAGTAATGGTCTAGGTAATAAAAGCATTTGCAGGACCACAAGTGGACGGTTTGGGAAGTGATCACAACCATTGAACTAATTAATATTAGTTTTACCGATTAACTTTTTTGAAGCCATTGATGCAGGACCACAATTGGACTTTTTGCGAGTCACAATCATTGAATTATATTATGTTTGAGAGCATTGGTTCAGAGTTTTGAATTTAAAATCAGAAGAAATTTAGTTAGTTATGTTTTGCAGTTATAGATAACCAACCAATTATATTTCCTTTTTCTTATTTATAGTTTCTTTGATGATGAATTTTATTTAAGTAGTGTTTATATATACATATATGTATATATATTAATGATGCATAAAGGAGAAATTTCTCGCACATACATTCATGTATGTGTGTGTGTATATATATATATATATTTTTTTGAATGGTGAAAGTTTCTTTTTCACCGACAGTGAAAATACTTTTTTTTCACTCTTTCGTCATTTCAACTAAAAAAGAAAATATTCCATACTAAACATGGAATTGGCAATCATTACCATAGGACACTTTTCTATTAGATAAGAAGGGAAAAATACAACAATTCTTTATGTTTTGAGTCGGTATACCAAATCAATCATTGAAAGTTTCAAAACCTTTGATTCCTACGTACCAAACCTAATTAGAAAAAATAAATAAATAATAAAAATAAGAAAATCACTATTATAGACTTACTATGATTGTTTACGAAGTAGAAGTAGAAGGCACTCTCAAAAGGGGGAAAAAAAAAAAATATATATATATATATATATATATATATATATTGGGTATGCATGATAATAATTGAGTGACATTGCTTCTTCGCCCGAAACAATCTGTTTAAAAACAAAAATTGCAATGATACAGCACATTTCACCTTTTGAGATGTATCTAAGACCTAATTGAACTCTTGTTACCCACCTACCAAATGCTGAAAAGTTAAAAAGAGAGTGGAGTCATGGACTGTCCACGCTATGCAACAACTCATAATGGTTAAATTCTGTCTTTTGGAGCAACTTTCTGCAACAAAAAATAAACAACAATTATCAAATCTCCTATTATCAAATCTCTCCACTCTCAATTTGTTCGGAGACAAAACAAAATAATAGCAGGTAAAACTCCATCGACAAACAAGTGCTATGATGCAAGCTGAAATAAATAAATATATATATTAATTAGTGTATCACATCACGTCATCACATGCAAATAACCAATGGTAAAACCTTATATGATATATAGGGTAACAAATAAAGAAAATTAGACATCCCACCACTCATAAAATTTATAGTGTGTGAGCTTGAATGATCGTGACTGTCCAATGCAGTAAATAAAGCTAAAGCGGAGGATTCTAAGTCAAAGTTAAGATGCAACTGAGGTGAACAGCTGACCAAGCGCTAAATGCGGGGCCCATGTGAGGGGCAACCATGGAACATATTCCGAAATTTGATCCTCGTGGCCAAATTCAGTGGGAGCGTCAAAAGAAATCCAATCCTAAATCATTGCTTTTCCCACTAAACCCTCTTAAATTTAAATCTTTTATTTACGAAGTTGACGAAATCTAAACGCCACTCTATGATTGGTTATTACCACCTCAGCTATTTTCACTTTATTAGTCAACAACGTAAGCGACTCACTGTTGAATAATGAAAGCAGGGGTAGTTTGGTAATTGAGAGTGAGGAAATGTGAAGTGGGCTGAGGGCGCGACCCTCACCGAGCCGACAAATCCCCGTTTGAACGGGCCAACGTGGGGTTTTTGTAGGGAATTTGAGTAACACGTTTGCTTTTTAACGTGTCTCTTTTTAGCCCCAACACCGCCGTGATCTCTTCTCATTCTTCCCACCGCCACCACCGGCTGCCACCGCTGCAGCCCACTATCACCACCGGTCCACCACCATTATTTGTCATTGTCTTTTTTATATATATATTTTTTTATTTATAAAATTATAATACTTATTTAACATATAATAAATATTTTTAAGTGATCATACCATCTTTTTGGGCTTGAAATAAGACATGTGTCTTTTGTAACCTATTCGCCGGAAATATAACAAAAAAGAAGAAAGTAAGAAGGGGTAGTAAAGGATAGTGGAGACATATAATATCCATTTCTTCTAAAAATGGAAGAGAGAGATAGAAGTATCTTTCCACATATTTTTTTTATTTTTATTATTTTTGACCTTTGAAAAAAGTTTTGTTTTAATATAAAAAGAAATGATGGTTAAAGTATAAACTATATTTTTTTTTTCTTTATTCCCATAATACTCAATTAAACAACGTGAAAATTTGATAATTTCTTAGCCTCTTGATTTTTTATTTTTTATTTTTCTCTCTTTTATTATCAACTCAAGCTTGATAACTTTTATATTATTACTTTTATTTCCTAAAAAGAAAAGGTTAGAAAAAAAATATATAAAAATAAAATAAAATAAAATAAAAGAGAGTAAGTGGTAGAGTTGGGGCATGACTAATGAGGCGAATCGGGCCACATCAGCCGTCCAGTCAAAAAAAAATGGTATGTTTATCTCTATTGAGAGCCGCCGTCGAAGTGGGACTAGGGTTTATAGTGCGCATGTTTTGCCTTTTAGAGCGTGCTAAGGTTGTGGCGGGTCCAGTTATGGCTCGGCTTGAGCCGACACTTTTCGAGAAAATGATTTACCTGTGCGCGCCGACTCACCGGGTTGATTGACAGGACTGATATAAAATATAGTAATGGGCCTCCAAATTTAACGGTTTTGTTGGATTGACAGGCCTACTTAGACAATCTGCTTCGTAACTGTTGCAAAAACAATCAAATATATTACGCTCCTTTGTGAAGCGTGGACACAAACACCGAATAATTAGATGTATAATTTATCGACTATTCCGTATTATCATAGATAGATAATTAGATATTGAGGTTTATTGGTAAGTGTTATTCACTCTCTATAACTGAGACTCAAATTGGATTTTATGGATATGGATTAGGGGACAGTGGGGAAGTTAATAAATTAAATTATTTGTTCTTTTTTTTTTTTTTTTTTTTGGCAGATTATTTGTATGTTATAGCTTATGAAATTAATTTATTTCAAGTTTGTTTTAATTTAATTGGACCGGAGCACTACACTAATATACTATCCAGAAAATAATCTGAAATAGCTTAAATTGCTTTAATTATTTGTTTTTCTTATGCGTTCCATAAATTTTGGAGTGTGAAAACCAATATAAAATATAAAATGTTATAGCAGTAGGAAGGTCAATTTCTTTTGAAACAATTCAATTAACATCAGCCCAAGTTTTATTTGAATTCACAAAAATCTTTCCATTCATAGTATCTAATATCAATTACATGAAAATAAACAAATAAATAAATGAAAAAGTGAAATTGGGTGATTGTTTGATTTTTTTGATTTATTTAAGATTTCTTAGATATTAAGATATGATTTTTTTTTTTTTGGGGGTAATTTTACGTATCATTTAATTTTTTAAATTCTGAGAACAGAGATATTATATCTATTAAAGTCCTTATTGATAAATCAGAACCAAGTCTCTGTCATGAATGATGAAACCACTCGATTCTCTCTCCTACCAAACGTAAACCAAGGAATCGAATCGGTAGTGGGATACAGTGAATTGGATTTCCTTCTTCACTAAAGATAGAGGAGGAATTTAATCTAAAACCATAGTGAAAAAGTTTGTGTATATATAGAGGAGTATATTATTATACATATAAATATTGTTTCTATATATGTTGTATACTTGAATAGTAGTACTTAATAAAGATCCTTCTTAAGCTTTTCTGCTGCTCTGTCTCTGTGGTAGTTGTTACTCACAGCCTATATATAACCATTGAAAAACACTCGAAAATTTCCCTGCTTTTTAGTCCTCGCCGTCTTTGGTTTCAACTCTGCAGAAAATTGGGTAATAGCCGCATTTAAGCATTACTTACTAACTAGGTGTGGTGTGGTGTGGTGTGTTCCACTGATTTTCTAGCTGTTGGGGGAGCATTTAAGCCTCACTTTCTCTCTCTAGCTCTGCCAAAATCTTGGAATGAAGAATTCTTAAACACCCACTTCTTCAATTGTACCCTCTTTTGTGCTTTCACTATAAAATCAAGCTCTGAACAAATCTTTCAGGGGACTTACTTCAGACATCTGGGATTCAGAAAGAGACGTCTCAAACAAGGTATTAGGATTTGGTAATGGTCTTTTCAATCCTTAGTTTCTTTTGATTTTTGGTATTTTTCTTGTTTCTGGATCTGGCTTTCGTTATCTGGGGAAAGGGTTGGTTTTAATTTTTATATATTTTGTCTCATTTTGTGTCTTTTTGTGTTTCAGATCTACTTGAATTTAGACGTCTCCTTTAGAGAAAATCGAAGACAAATGTTGCCACAGAAGCAAGCAGAGGAAGCTATTGTCTCCAACTTCACCGAGATGGAACATGAAGGCAAAGAAGAATCTGAGAATAAGCAAGAACCAGAGGAAGATCATTCCATTTTCAGTGTCAAGAGCATCCTCTGGCATGGTGGTTCTGCTTGGGATGCTTGGTTCAGTTGTGCTTCCAATCAAGTACACATATATTCTATATACATAAATACCCATTTCAAGAATTTGAAAAACCAACAATTTTGATCATGATTTTCATTACAGGTGGCTCAAGTTCTGTTAACATTGCCATACTCATTCTCTCAGTTGGGGATGTTATCAGGCATAATATTTCAGATATTCTATGGTCTAGTTGGTAGTTGGACAGCATATCTCATCAGTGTTCTATATATCGAGTATCGAAGCCGAAAAGAGAAAGAGAATGTTAGCTTCAAGAACCATGTGATACAGGTTGGTTGATTTGCCTCTGGTCAACACCGCCATTTCTGATTCATTAGGATCAAAACTACCACAAAACCCTAACAGTTTCAATTGTTTTGAGCTGCAGTGGTTTGAAGTGCTTGATGGGTTGCTAGGTCCTTACTGGAAGGCAGTGGGTCTAGCCTTCAACTGTACTTTCCTTCTCTTTGGATCAGTCATACAGCTTATAGCTTGTGCAAGGTATATATGATCTATGAAGGTTGAGTTTTAGAACTTGAATTGGAAAAATATGATATGGGTTTGTCTATAATTTGACTCTTTTTGTTGCTTCTTAATGGTAACAGTAATATATACTATATCAATGACAATTTGGACAAGAGGACTTGGACATATATATTTGGAGCATGCTGTGCAACTACTGTTTTCATACCCTCCTTTCACAACTACCGGATTTGGTCTTTTCTAGGCCTTGGCATGACCACTTACACAGCCTGGTACATGACCATAGCAGCCCTTATTCACGGCCAGGTAATATATATATATATACATATACACACGACTATGATCTTTTTTGGGTTTCTCTAAAAGGATACAGTTAGTGTGAAGTACTTTATCTTCTGGATTGGTTATGTATTTGCAGTGAGTAAAGTTTTCGTGTGGGTGTTGTGTTTTTTTTGGCAGAATGATGGTGTGTCACACTCGGCTCCAAAAAAACTAGTGCTGTATTTCACCGGCGCCACCAATATATTGTACACCTTCGGTGGACATGCCGTCACTGTGTGAGTTAATTGTTTCTTTTCTCTTATATCTTCCGTGTCTGTGTGTGAATATATATATATATATGGACACACAACCCACCACTACTACTACTATTTATCTTCTTCTTTATCATGTTATCTTCTTCTTCTTCTCTTCTTTCTACATGGCTTCTCTTTGCAGCTTTTGCCGGGCACTCGGAATTCGAGGCTACAGACAGAATCATGAAAATAACTTTTGTTTTTCCCTGGAAAACGACATTACAACTTTAATTACTTAGCAAAAAGACGATTAAGACCAGCATTTCCTTAAGACAAAACATTAGAAAAGCGGACTTAATTTCTAGTTTTTCTGTGACCCTTCGCTCCATTTATGTTTTGATTCTGATCTTAGATAGTCTTGTTGTAACCACCCTTTGTTGCAACTCAATGAGACACTAGAAATGAATACAAGGGTATTTTGGTCATTTTCATAAACTCATCAAATGTGGAATCTACAGTCCAAGGATCCAATGCCCATCCCTCAAAGATTTCTTATTTAGATCATTAAATCATTGCATAATATATATTGTACCTTTCCAGTTGTCAAAATGACTTTAATGACTTTTTCAAGTACAAATTTATATTACCTGTTGGAATATGCTTGGAAGTAACATTAAATTTTTACCTTTCGCATTCCTACTTCTTGTATTTAGTTCTATTAGCTAGCTTTTTGAACATGTCACTGAAAATCTTGTGAAATAATATTACAGGGAAATTATGCATGCAATGTGGAAACCCCAAAAATTCAAGTACATATACTTAATTGCTACCCTCTACGTTTTCACATTAACACTTCCTTCGGCTTCTGCCGTCTACTGGGCATTTGGTGATGAGCTCCTCACCCACTCCAACGCCTTCTCCCTCCTCCCTAGAACCCGCTGGCGTGATGCCGCCGTTGTCCTAATGCTCATTCATCAGGTGATCAATTTCTTAGAGGATCGAATCAACATCTTGAATTTGAATTAAAGAAAATTTAGTTTTAAAAGTTTCAAATGTAACATTAGTTTATTATTTTTTTTTTTTAATTTTTTTATTACGGAGTGAAAAGTGACATGTGGTTTTTTGGTGCAGTTTATAACATTTGGGTTCGCATGTACACCTCTATACTTCGTGTGGGAGAAGGTGATAGGGATGCACGAGACAAGGAGCATATGTTTAAGGGCACTTGCAAGGCTGCCAGTGGTGATACCAATATGGTTTTTGGCCATTATTTTCCCATTCTTTGGGCCTATTAATTCTGCAGTTGGGGCTCTTTTGGTTAGCTTCACCGTCTACATCATCCCAGCTCTTGCCCATATGCTCACTTACAGAAAGGCCTCTGCTCGCCAGGTATATATATATATATATGTGTGTGCATCATTTGACCTTTCCTGCATTGTTCTTGTCCTTCAATTTACTCACAATCTATCAGATTCTCTCTTTTGGGCAAAACTTAAAAAGTAAGTATTGTATTAGGAGTCTTTATCTGCCCTCTCAATCAATTTACAACAATAGCCATCCATGCTTCATTTCTCCAGTATTCTTTACAATTGCATCCTGCAATTATTTTCATCCATTAGGGCCATATTTGACCATTACAATTTAGTGCCTAGGTGGCTTCCGCAATTTTGATGGGACTTGGAAGCTCTGCAGGGGCCCACAACCCCCCCTCTATCACTTGCTGGTCAAAATTATCCGATGGTGGTTGTACCTTTTGTTTCAAATCAAAGAGCTCTCCAACTAAGACAAGTAAAACACACACAATTGAATATAAATTTTAATTACGTATCGAAAATAATATAAATTTTAATTGTGTACCATAAAGTAGTCTATATGATACGGATCATTTAATAAATTCCCCTAGTCACCTCTTAAAAATAGAAATAATTTAAACCGTACACTCTCTTTTTCTTGTTCAACTCTTTTCATATCAAACATAAATTTATTCGAAAAATTCCCTTGTCACCACTTAAAAATAGAATGGCTTAGATCATACGTCATTTTCATCTCATATTCAACTCTTTTCATATCGAACAGAAACTTATTTCAAAAATGTCAAGTATGTACAATTCTTACAGTTTGTGACTGTGCTCGGGTCAAATTAAATTTTCTTGTTGGCGATGGTATGGAATCTATGCCACAAAGAGAGTGCGTGTGAGACCGAGTACAAGGGTACAACAGCATTAATGGCATAGATTTGGAAATATTGAGAGATGATACGAGATAGGTGGGGTGTCCTTTTCATTTAGTTATATACTACAGTGACATTGTTGTATCTTGTCTGAAATGAGCTGGCTATTACTAGGGTTAGCTAAGTTGTGTCGTTCACTCACTCATGCACTCATATTGGATTGGACCAAATAACCAATTTACTATCACCATATTCGACACATTTAATAACCCCAAAGTAACCAACCCCATTTTGGTGGGTACGATCGAGTCTGTGTGTGACCATCACTGATTCAATTCATTTGACTTCTTCTCATCTTGCATTATTTGTAGAATGCGGCTGAGAAGCCTCCGGTCTTCCTGCCAAGCTGGACAGCCATGTACGCACTCAACATCTTCATCGTGGGTTGGGTCTTCGTGGTTGGGTTCGGGTTCGGTGGTTGGGCTAGCATGACCAATTTTGTGAGACAAGTTGACACATTTGGCCTCTTTGCCAAGTGCTATCAGTGCAAGCCCGCCAAGCTTCCAACACCCACTACTCATCACTAAATCCTCGTTTTTCCCCTCTCTCTCCTCTTCATATTTTGTATCATAGCAATAGATCTCCTACAAGCGATGTGTGCTGGATTTTCTTTTTCTTTTCTCTAGATTGTAATTTTTTTTTTTTTTTTCTTCTTAAATTACTAAGTACAAATTAATAGTGTGTTGAATTGTGATGATTCCTTTGCTATTAAAGCAAGAGGCTAATCAATTCAAAGATATGTTTAGTTTTTTTTATATTTTTTTAATCCCTTTTTGTTGGAATATTATAAGATATACTAGTAGTTGATCTTCTCTCTCTCTCTCTCTCTCTCTATATATATATATATAGAGGTTGAATGTCATTATTACTTTGCATGTTTCCAAAGTATATCTTATTGAAATGGCATTGGTATGGGTTGCTTGTGTTATTTAATGCAATGTGGGCTTGATCTTTAAATGTGGATGTGGACATTTCTTAATGAGTCTTTTGACCTAGATTCTCTTTGAGGGGAGTGGGCCGTGGACCCTCCACCCATTCTGGCTATTCACATGGCCTGCACGTTTGTTCCACCCTCTTTGTCACGTGCCACTCTTACCTCCAATTTATTCCCTTCAGCTCACATGCATCAACCTCCCTAGTCCCTCCCATTGTTTTATCAGCTTGTGATTTTTCATTAATATATTCTATGTGAATATAAGACCTTTGACTTCCTTTTGCTCATTAATGTTAGTCTTTTCTTTCACATGAATTAGACCCGGTATTAAGGGGTCCGCTTTACTAATTACTGTTTCTTGAATTAATAAAGAAAAAATCATTTGATTTAATGTCCACTAAACAGGATATAAAAATAATTACAGTTTTCTAAATAAAAAAAAGGTAAATATGATATTACAACAAATTTGGGTTTTTGCCACAAGGAACTTCATGGCAAAAACATTCAAATTTTGTGAAGAAAGCCCTTTTAACCACAAGAAATAGCTCATGGCTCGATCGTGGGCGTAACTCCAGAATGTCAATAACCACGACTAAAAAATTTCGTGACAAAATGTAAACCTTTTGTCACAAATTTGAACTCGTGGTAAAATACCTTCTATTGCCACAAGCTATTTCGTCGCTAAATAACAATACCTTCGTGGCAAATAACAATCCCGATATAGGAATTAATCGTGGCTAATTCAATCCTTTTGCAACGAAAATATTTAACGTGATAGAATAGGTCTTTTTCCCACAAAATGTATTCGTGGCTATAAATTTAATTACCCACGAATATATGTCGTGGCAAATACCTAAAATAGACCACAAAGTTTATTCGTGGCTATAATTTTAATTGCCCACTAATATATGTGGGGCAACTATCCAAAATAGGCCACGAAGTTTATCAGTGACTATTCTATTATTAATAAAATAAAATTTAATTTAATAACCAAAAATATATATTTTGCCAAATACCAAAAATAGACCACATACTTATCGTGGCACGATAAGAATTTGTGACAAACCTGTAAATTATTAACATTATAAACAAATATATATATATATATATATATATATATATATATATATAACATCAACACGATTATGAAAACAAATAAATACTTTATATTGCATAAGTTACACCAAACAAAAAATGTATTGTTTACAATATATATAATAAAGCCCATCGCGTAAAAAAAAATGAGTCATAACATCTAAAACAATTTCAACTCCAATAATTTGGACCAAAACAGGGTAGTATCTTAAATAAATGTTTCAAGATCTTAGGCAAAAAAAGAGCTATAGATTCCTAAACAAAGGGTTCAAAAACTTGTACATACACTACTTAAACCCTTTTAAACAAAAAGAGCTTGAAGTCTTGTAGCATGAGTCCATCCAAAAATCTGCAAAACAAACAATGAATAAATGCAATTAGTGCCTGTGTCAAAAAAAATTGAATCCAAAAAAAAGTATAAATAGAGAATAAGAATACCAATTCATCTTCAAGAAAATACGGAAAAGTACAAAATAGAAAGACAAATTTGATTCTTTCTTCAATTAATTCTTCTTAACGGGAGGGTGAAGTATTAAATGCATCTAACAATGCTGACCATTAATGAATTTCAATAGGTTTAGGAGATCAAATAAATAGAAAAATAACAATTTCACTATTTCTGTCATGCTGACTGGCTATCCATCTCATTTCCAACCATAATCAACCAATAACAAGAAGCTAAGCCAAAATCCAAAGCTAACTATGTATTGACAAAATGGTAAAAGCATTGTTTTATAACTTGAAACAATTGCATTCCAACAATTAACTTTACCTGAAAAAATTTCGAATTTCGCAAAGGAGATGGGCTTGGAGGCTGCTTTGTGGTTGTTATGTGATCACCATTAGAAGAATTCTTTGCCATTGCTTAGATCCCCCAACAGAACTCAATACTATGCCACAGTTGGTCAATTTCATACAATTAATGTCTTATATATATATATATATGCATATTTTCAAAAAAATAAAAATGAGGCAATTCAATCAGACCTATCAAACTAATCTTTATATCCAATTTCAAAGAGAACAAAAATTTTAAAAACTTCAAAATCATTTTCACATGTACATATGTATTTGAGATGATCACATTACAGATCAGGAAACATAAGAATATAAAAAGACAAACCTAATCGTGAGAATAAAAAGAGCACCCAAAACCCTAATTTCTGCATTGATCCAAGAAACGCAAAGATCAACAACTTCTTTATAGCTATATTAGGGGTGGCAAATGGGCGGGTTGGGTTGAATTAGGGTTGGGTTGACAATGGGTGGGTCAAGACCCATATTCAACCCGTTTAGAAAGGGTTGAAAATGGACGGGTTGAAAATGGACAGGGTCAACCCGTTATGATCCGTGGATCCATTAATTATTATTTTTTATTTTTTTAATTATTTTTAAATTATTTATTTATTTTTTATTTTTAAAAATTTTTTAATTCATACAAACAGATCTAACAAAATAAATCTGTGGTTGAGAGTTGTTTTTTTTCAAGTGCAAATATTTTATATCTCCCATTGAGTTATATAGCTATATATATATTTGACTGAACCCACTTGGGTTGTAATTTGTGAGGCATAGGGAGTTGGAGTGAAAAATGTGTCTGGAGAGAAAGTAGCGGAGAAAGAAAGGAAGGTATTATTTAACAGTCATATTTTGCAATTTGTGAAATTTTTTTCCTGAAAAAACATAATATGATCATTACTAAATTATTAAAAGTAACCTTATTTTTTTTTAAAAAAAAGAAAGAAGTTAAGTCAGAAGGAAAATACTTGAGCCTTCCATATCCAAATAATTGTTTTAGCTTTATTTTCACATTTAAAATTACCAAGCATGTTTTAGTTTTGACAGAAATAATAGTACCAGTTTTACCAAACACGCCCAAATTTAAAAAAGGGAAAATATCAAAAGAGGATTAAAAAAAAAAAGGAAAGTGAAGAATATTTTTAGAAATTTAAAATGAAAAGAATATTTTTAGAAATTTAAAATGAAAAGAATATTTTAGAAATTTTCGTTCATTTTCTCTCTCTCGGTCGCCCCAATCAAGGGTGAATCCAGGAATTGTCAAGAGGGGGGCTAAGCAAAAAAAAAATTTTAACAGGATGATTGAATTTTAGGGGGATCGAAAGATGAAAGATGAAAGATGAAAGAGTTGAAAATTTCAGAGGAAATACGGTTAGACTTTAGAGGGAGAGAGGCTAGGTCACATAGAATATTAGGAGGAGCTCTTTGATTTGTGCTCTAGCTCTGTAACCTGGCTTTAGTGATTGTTTCGGGCTTGTTTGTCTTGGGCCTATTTGGTTGGGCTTTGTTTTAAAAGTGTGGCTTAAATCTTGGACTTGTTTGGATGGGTTAATATTTAGGGGGCTAATACTACTACTAAATTTTAATTTTTTTTAGAATTGGCTAAATTTTGCATTATTAAAAAAATAATAATAATAATAAATAAATAAATAAATAAAAATAAATAAATTTGGGGGGGTTCAAGCCCACCCAAGCCCCCCTCTGCATCCGCCTGTGGCCCCAATCAATGTCACAAAGACACATCGGCGTCTGTCACCACTCCCTCCGACCTGTACGGCTAAACTCCTTTTATGTTTTCTTATTCCATAAACTATTACTGTATATTGTATGATATATGTATGCAGAGTCATACATACATACATACATACATACATACATATATATATATATATATATATGTATGTTCCTATAATGAACAAATGTCATTATTATATATGCAGAGCCCTAATTACTGTGAACTATGGGACTAATTTTTAATCTGTCTGAAATTATTAATTCTACTTAATTGGGATCACGGTCACGCTCAAGAGTGAAGTAATTTTTTTAATTTATTTTTAAACTTTTTTAATTTATTTTTAATTTTTATTATTTTTTAAATTTTTTTTTAAAATTTTAAATTTTTTATAATTTAAAAAAAATAATTATTTTTATTTTTAAATTATTTTTTTGGAAGGTTTTAAATTTTTTATTTTAAATTTATTAGTTTTTTAATTATTTATTTTTTTAGAAGAAATTTTTAGAGAGATGAGAGACAAATTTAGAGAGAGAGGATTGTAGGTGAGAGAATTTTAGAGAGAGAAATGAGTTGAGTGCAATATGAAATAGATATGTGTTGTATATTTATTATATGATGGGTGAAATATGGGTTGAATATGGTTAACCATATTCAACCCATCTTGACCCTCAATTAAATATGGTTTACCTATAATCATTAAAAAAACGGACGGATATGGGCGGGTTGATGGTTCCTGACCCATTTTGTCACCCCTAAGCCATATATAGACACACCTACATAGTATTAATAATTAAAAATGGAAACTTCTACCACCAAACACTGCCAACTCGAGTGCAACAAAATTGAAAAAAAAAAAAAAAAAAACCTTGTACATTTACTAATTTTTCTCCTTAAGAACTTACTTATATTCGCGGCATTTGCCACTTCTATTAAATTAATAAAAATGAATCCTACCGAAATTTATAAGCAGTAGAGGTGAAGTTCAGAAATTTATAGCAGATTTTCTTGAACCCAATCAATATAGCAGATTTTTCAATTTTACTAGTTAACATAACTTCATACATATAAAATAAATAGAAACAATAAATAGATCAACCAAACCCAACGAATTTAGAAATGATAATATAAAGAGAAATAATACCTTTGAATGATGAAAATCGTACACGTATAGGCAAATCTTCAGTAAATTGCAAATCTGAAACAAAAATATTGAAATTAAAAACCCTAAGATTTGTAGATATATTCAAAATTATA